CCCAAGGTTAGCCCTTGCCGCCGATGGGGGGCGGAAAAAGACTAAGATAAATGGGAGAGAAGTAAAAGAAACAGGAACGGTGAAAGTGAAAGATCGGAGGGGATTGTACAAAAAAGGTGACTAGACTGAATCATCCAGGCCGTACCTTACCAGGACTCCCGCCTACGAAAACCGGTTACCAAAATGGTGTATTGCTTCACCCGCGGGGCCCCGAAGGGTCCAAACCTACTCCGGGCTCGACTCAACCACCAGGATGTCCTTTTCTTCGTTCACGGGAGGCCACGCACAGCCTGACGTGGGCAGGTGAACCCGCATGGCTCAGGCTCCGTGGTGACGCGATTCACAAAACAGATGTTTTCACACGTGCTCTCTGCGGGGGAAACGAGAAGTAACTGTCGTGCTTAACTTTCAGTTTAGCACACTGAAAAGATTTGTCTTGTAAAATGGGAGCAAGCACTTTAATAAGGTTGAGAGCTGGGCTAGTTGGTAACTTTTGTACGTAATCAGATAAAACAACGCAAAAAGGTACAAGAAGAATCGAGAAACCGGACAGGACCGAGCGCTGTCCAGTCCGGTTTTTCACTTTGTTTTGTACCTTTTTGCGTTGTTTTATCTCATTATGCCGAGCAAGCACCGCCTCAACATCACCACTCGTTCTTGCCGCGTGAAGGCGTTAGACGAACAGTGCTTTATGCTTCTGCAATCTCCGAACCAAAGTCAGATTACTGCCTGTAGAGGATCCCGATGAAGGCTTGACCTTTCGATTCCGTTGAAAAAGCCACAACCGTCGGCGTTCCTTTCTGAATTATTCTCGGTCGTTTGGGGTGAAGGTTGACGGATAGCGGGAGCGAGGTCTGTCGATTGGGGAGTGGGGCGGGAGCACAAGTTTCATGTTCAGTCCATTTGTGTTTCTTGTTGTTTCATGAGAAACAGCGCGGCTAGTTGTCTGTTTTCCTGCCTCAGTAGCGAAAGTTGCGGGACCATGGCGCTTCTGGGATTCCCGTGATGGTAATGGCACCGGCATTACACGTTGCGAGGTCAGACGACGCAGACGTTCGGCGTTCCGGGTCAGGGGCATCTTCAAGAACGCGTTATGTGCCTTGACGTACGAATCTTCTACAATGAGAGCGTCAATCTTCTCTTAAAAGTGGACACAAACTTGCTGACACAGCCACACGTGTCACAGCTTTCGGTCACCGGTGCAATTTGGTATTCGTTGTTGTGCAGAGAGGCGAATTCCTTGGAATAATCTTAAGCATGAACGGTGACATCTTGAGCGCCGTCGCGCGTCTGGAAATTTTGACACTTGTATGTACTTGAGCCGCCAATCATGAAGAACTCGTAGTCGTCTCCCACGGCCTCAAGGCACTTGCAGTGAAGCCGCGCACCACAAAAACCACAGCAACGTAGATACAGCGACGTAGAAGGCGGACGATTTCGTCGGCATCCAAATCATGTCCGAGGAGCATTGCAACGGATCGCTAGAGCATGCGACGGCCTACATTTAGTGCGCAGCGCTGAATGCGGACAGTGTTGAATGAAAGATAAGATTACTAGTGTGCAGCTCTTCAGCGGAATCTACTCTACGTAATGGGATTGGCTTACATAGGCACTGTTCGCGATACAATACAAAATAAAAAAAACGAAGTAGAAAACATATGATGAACAACACTGCAGATTGAACTTCTTACAAAACGTTAGAACTAGAAGAGACAGCGTCGATACACCAGATTTTTTAAAACTTTAATGTATATGTTACCCTTTAGAATTATTATGGTGATTCTACTCTTAAACCTAAAGTTCACATGGAAAAACATTTATGGAGCACAGACAGTGTTAAGATCCGTAGAGTGTATACAAAATACAGAAAAAGATGTAGAATTTATAATATACTTTTCTTATTAAAAAACTACCGGAGTCTTTATTCTTCATAAGTTCATTAAGGACGCTGAAAAAAGAACTAAAGAAATGATGCCACTTTTATGTTCCTTAAAATTATGAGACGAATTTATTGCGAATGTTATTGTTTTCGTATCTTTGTTCTTGAGTGATTGTTTTAGCCTAGTGTGCTATGTGCCTGGTCCATAATTAACTCGATTATTTATTTTTTATTTTTTCTGGCAGTATAATTTTTCTCTTTGACGTTGAATGCTTTGGTGTCTTTATATTCGTTGTATTTTCTTATATCGCGCATACATTCGTTATATTTGTTCGTTTGCATCGAGCATGCATTTGTGGTATTCACTTGTTTACATCAAGCTCATTTCTACATGTAATTTTTGCTGGTTGCCTGACCCTACGAGCAAGCAGCTTTTGCAGGACAGCACTATTGTTTTTGGTATTTTGTTATTTGAATAAAGTAATTAATATTATTATTATTATTATGATTGCTATTATTACTTTCCTCGTCTTGTTTTCGAGATGATACAGCTTACGCCGACGGCGACACCGACGCCGACGGCGACACCGCTCAACCCAGGAATGGGCGCCTAAGAGCTGCGCTCTAAAAGGGACGTTTACAAATCTCTGGAATGCTAAACTAGAAAGCAGCTCTTGAAAAGGAGGAGGGAAGGGTATGAAGGGAAGGGATTGCCCTCCTCCTCCCCTTCTCCTCCCCCTCCCCTCCTCTGCTCCTCCTTCTCTTCCTCCTCCTCTCCCCTCCTCCTCTCCTCCTCCTCCGCTCCTCTGACCAAAGGTTTGAGGAGCGAACCTTCGGTGAGCATGGAAATGACGTCACGTGACGCGGACATGTGACGTTATTTTCTCCGCTAAATTTAGCGGGGAGAATGACGCCACATGACTTTGCATCAGGCCACCCGTGAACAAATTCAGTTTCTGCGCTAGATTTATCGGGAAAATTTACGTCACGTGACCTCAACACCAATTCAATTTCCCGCTAAATTTAGCGGGGTGACACGCTGACGCCGCGAATCACGGAAACCGGCGCCCAAGGACTGCGCTCTAAAAATGTTTCCTTCTGGATTGTTCACACTGGCGACCACCGGTAGTCGCGCAAGCGACTAGCAACATGCGACAGGCGACCACCGATGCTCACAGTGCTGGCGATCGGCGAGTAGCTATCGTCGAATAGGGTCCTGGAAGCTACCGTGAGCTGCGGTCGATTCCGTCCTCCCAGCAACAGTTCGGGTTCGTGTTTTGCTGCATTCGCACTTTCTTTGTCTCACAGCTACAGATGCGTCGGCTTTCCCATATGAAAAAGACTCGTTTTGTTGGCATGGGTCCTTCTGAACCGCACAAAGAAGCACAATCGCTAGATCGTCTCGCTCGAGCTACCGCGTTGCAGTTCATACCTGTCAATGATTTGCTGCCAGGTCGTGTTCTTTTTCGGGCGCAGGTTCAAATCGGGGTGCTGCTTTTTATAAAGAAATGGGTATTTTTTCATAGCGCTGACTAGAGCCGCCGCAGAGACCTCCGTGGCTCCATATCAATGGCCGCGAACAGAGGCGTGGGACGGACATATTTGTTGCTTCTTCCACAGAAGATCGCCGTGCCGGATGTAAACAAACGCGAGGCGCGCCTTACTTCACTTCCGAGGCGACGCAGGTTGGTTCAGCAGCCACACGACTCGGTGCCCGGTGGCAGAAATTGGTCTGGAAACGACTGCTTCAAACCTGTTGCTTTCGAGACTTCCGATTATCGCTTTTGCGACGAAAGTTGCCGCGGGACAGCTACGACATGCCAGTGTGAACGCGCCTTTACAGTCGATGTCGTGCGGCAAAACCCCTGTAACGAAGACACGCTAGCTCAATTTGGGTGAAGGTTTTTTTTTTTTCTTTTTCCCCTTAAAAGACCTCTTAAAAGAAAAAAAAATTAAATAGTCTGGTTGGGACACGCGTGTCGAAAGATACATTTTACGCAAAAAAAAAGCAAACATTTTAACCGATATTGACGCCAAGAGTTTTATTTGAAATTCTGCGCGCAAAGTCCATGACGTCATGGAATGGCTATTCGCTCTTTCCACCTCAACGTGAAGGCGAAGCCGATCCACTTCTCCTCCACGCGCCCGAAATACCGAGAAAACAAGTGGGAAAAGGTGACTACTAAATCGCGTCTTGCGCCGTAAATATTGCTCTACATTGTTTTTTTTTGCGTAAAATTAATGTTTTGACACCTGTGCCCCAACCAAACTTTTAATTTATTTTTTCAGTGTTTTTAAGGAAGTCATATGCTACTTATTTCTTTGCCATCACAAGCTTGTTCAAGTCACTATGAACGGGCAAGGAGAGTTTAAAGAAAATAAAAAGTGGAGTTTCCTTTTTAAATATTGAAGTGTAATTTTTGCCACACTTAAAAAAAATCAGTATCGTTTCTGTATTACTAACATAACTATAATAACGGCTAAGCATGATCGTTTATATATCCGTAATACGCATTTAAAGATGATAATTTTATGTGGTTCGTCTTCTTTTATAAAAATTAGTTCGTTCGTAAATAATTTGTTGATGTCTTTAAACTTGCGTATTTACGTGTTTCGTAAATATATTTGCATATAAATCTTTTATTTTGATTTTAGTGATCTATCCACATGTTGCATACCTGTCATAAAACAGAGAAAGAATCATTATTACGTATATGCTTCGGTGTGATATTGACGGCTCTGCGAATTACCATAGGGAAACCTCGATATTCGCCAAGCCTCGACCTTCAAATTTTGTATCTCTGGAATAAAATTACTTTTACGTTCGCATATAGCTAAATGCTTCTCCAAGAATTTGGCTTTAACATATAATTTTAGATAAATATTAAAAAAAAGATGACCTGGACTATCATTGCACTATCGGACGTGGAAACACCCTGTGCTCAAGTACACCTTGTTCCGCCCCATCAATATTCAGATGAATGATTGAATTGTAAGTGTAGGTTATAATTTCCTGCCTATTCTAATAAACATAGGGGAAGCATTGTAGTGTACTCTAATATTAAATAGATTGAGGTTGCTTTTGATTAAAAAAATATTGAAATCTTTGCGTTCCGCTTACCTTCGGATATGTCTCTGACAAGATAGAGATGTTCATTTCGTTGTACGTTGAGGACAAGTTACGCCAGTCTTCCTCAGACTTTGAGTTCTGAAGAAAAAAAAAAAGAAAAAAAAAAACGAGAACAAGCGAGTCATCGCCGTTATTTTTATGTTCTCGAAATATACCCGACATTTTGTTTTTGGAGAGTTATGTTTTGTGCGCCATATTTCTTTATATGATCCCATGCCGGGAGACTACCATGTTTTTCATAGGTACCCGCAAGTTTAGTCTAGGTAATTTAACAATCCCGCCCAAAAAGTTTAAGAACGAATTGAAATTGCAGTGTGCAGAAATAATTTCGCACACAACCGGCGGGGATCATTGGGGTAAATGTGAAATCCCGGTAAGGATTTCCTACGTAAACCGCCTAAAATATTTAGATTTGTAACACTTTTTGACGATCGGGTTGGTTTCTTGGCAATATGCATTTGAATGGTAAAGCGAATGAAAGATTTGTTCTTCATGGAAAGTGTACTATCTGTGATAACGTGCTCCAGAGCTTTTAAATGATTCCAAACCTTTTCTGATAACGATACTGAGCTGGTCTTTTTTACCCGAGAAATGATCTCTTTTACTTGTCAATATAATGACTTTAAGGTCATTCAGAAATCTCGAAAGTAAGAAAAATTTGATGAAGGAGTCATAAATATGTGCATGTGAAAATAAGGGAAGAATATTTTAGATTGTCTGTGAAATGACTTGTAAGGCCGAGGAATGAGCCGAGGAATGGAACCACCTCCCCGGTTTAAATGCTACTATAACTGCTACTAACTTGTTTAGAAATTCCATATAGCTATTTTAGCAGTGACCCATGACCTATTATTGTTATTATTCTTTGTTTGTTGTATATTTAATATTGTTGACTTGTTACTACATTACTATCTTTGTTTCATGTATGTGCTCTGCCCCTCTGTAATGCCTTCGGGCCCTGAGGGTACTTTCAATAAATAAATAAATAAATAAATATATTTCACTTCGCATAAGAGCTTCATAAGTAAAATATGAATATATATATATAGGTGAAGTAGGGTAAATATAAAAACAATGAACCGGAAAAAGTTAATAAGTCAAAGATGCGTACTGTTGGAGTTACTAATTCGAAGTTTATTACGACGTTTCGAGCGAAGACCCGCTCGAAACGTCTTAGTGAAGTACGAATTAGTAACTCCGACAGTACGCATCTTTGACTTAGATATATATACAGGGTGTTTTCTTTCAAGCTTAACAGATTTGTTCTAAAAAAATCGTGAAAGTTACATTATGCCCCTTGTGGAGGTGAGTTATACGGCCAGGGGGACACATTATAGGGGGCAAATCGTAACGATCAGTCGGCTAATTAATTAATATTCGTTAATTACCTTTTTAAATAATGAAAATAGACATATGGTTCCAATTATAGAAACTTGCTCAGCGTCATCGAAAACCACTAAATCAGTCATTTTCAGAAAGACTTTCGGCGCGTGAGAAGCGTAGTCTGGTACTAAAGTTACCACTCGTGAAGCAGGTACAAGGCTGGGGCTAGATAAGAGACGGAAAAATCGCGCGGGCGCCTTATCGCAACCGCTAGCTTTGTACCTGCTCCACGAGTGGTAACTTTAGTGCGCTACTACTCTTCTCACGCGCTCAAAGTCTTTCTCAATATTACTAATTTTGTGGTTTTCGATAACGCTGAGCAAGTTTCTAATTAGAATCATATGTCTATTTTGTTAATTAAAAAGTTAATTAACGAATTTTAATTAATTGGCCGACGGATTGTAACGATTAGCCCCCTAAAATATGTGCCCCTGGCCGTATAACTCACTTCCACAAGCGGCATAAGTGTAGCTTTCACGGCATTTTTTAAACAAATCTGTTAAGCTTAAAAAAAACACCCTATATATACATATATACATTGCTTTACAAAGAAAAAATTTTTTTCTTTTATTGACAGCTCCATAAACATATTCAGTGAAAGTGGCGAGGAATAGCATACTTGAGGTCTACTTCTTAGCACTGCGCGACACTGTCTACACGAACACGACAACAATGGATCTCTGCATTTTACTTAGGCACAGCGTTGCGAAGTACAAACTTTTATAACTTAGGGTACTGCCCTAAGTAATAGCTTCTTGTTTTAAAAGTTGTTTTTTACGATTCTACCAGATGGCCAATTTGAAAAGAAATACAGTAAAATTTTAAATAGCCTGTTCCACTGAAATGTATCGCGTTGGGTACTTGGTACTAAAACTTCATCAAACTCAGAGAGGTGAGCATTTCTTGAAGTATCCCGACATTGTAGCACATAATAACACCACTGAAATCCACCTAATTGTTTTTTTTTTTTTAATAGAAGACTTTTTTTGAGAAATGCATAAAACCACAAGGCCTGATTATGAAATTTCAAATTGAATAACAAATGAATTCGCTTTAGCGGAAGATAACATATCTATGGTGTGTCGTCCGAAAAAATCCGGTTCGATCTAAAATAGGTCGTAAAAATCGGCGCCTGCACGACGCAACCTAAACGTTTCGTCAAGAATTTGTTTCACAGGTCCGTTTTAAATTCTAAGACTAAAAAGCCTTGCTCCCTTTGTGTAAAACGTATATCCAAAAAGCTAGCCAAGGTTAACGGCGGACGGCGACGCAGTCAACCGAGTGCCGGGGCGCGTGTGGCGCAGATATTTATAGATGGCGTCCGGAGCAGCGTCGGATTGTGTAGCCTTTCAGCGAAAAAAAAAAAACAGACGACACGCAGACAAAATCTGTGGGCAGCAAAAACGCGGTCGCATAATGCAAAAGCATTATGCGACCGCGTTTATTTTTAATTTTATTTTTTTAATTCGGTTTTACTTTGTCTTGCTTTTTCTCGTGCGTATTTCTTTTTAATCATAGTTGCATTATAAAGTATTTTGCAAATTTTAATCGACGGCGGTTGTCCCTAGCTGTCTCGAATAAAGTCCTTCTTAGTCTCGACATAGAGGTGCGCTAAACGGGCGCCGCGTCACTCGACTGGTCGTCTGCGTCGCTCTCCGCCGTTGAACATGGCAAATATTTTAGCCCTCTTTTTTACAGAAAGAAAGCTACGCTTTGAAATTTTACAAGATAAAACCGACTTTACAAATACAGCTTTGACGAAATGATTAGATTGCTACGTGCAGGCGCCGGTTTCTACGGCCCATTCTAGTTCCAGCCTGGTTATTTCAGACACCCAATACTTAAGAGTTACTATTGAAAGGTATTATATATTACCTTTGCCAGTGTGGCCTCAAACTTTAATATTTCCTCAGAAAGTTTCTGAGCCTTGTCCTCAGTTAAGTTGGGCTTGAAGACCTTCGCAATTGCCTGAATAAGTTTCTTGTAGGCCATAACTATTTTCTTACTGGCTTCTGTCTCCTGGTTGATCAGTTCATTTCGACCAACCCAGCCAAACGAAATTTGGTCGAGCTTAAAAAATGATGCATGTTGAAATTAATTTGTTAATATCTAGAATATCACACATATACGCTTAAAAACAGCATATTTCATAGTAGTGAAACATTTCATTTATAGAATTCTTATGCGTGCAGCTGAGAACACATGGAGAATTAGAATGTGTTGTAACTCTTCCGTTTCCACTTGTATCATGATATCTACATTTATATTTTGAAGCTAACGACCAATTGAGCTATATTTTATCCAAATTAATGGTGTTCTCATTATATGATCTCTTTGCGGTTGTGTGATACGTTCGATAACCACACTGATTACGATACAGCCAGGTTAGCTAAAACAATAAGCGTCCTTGTTTAGAATAAATATATGCGGTGGCCGGATACATTAAATAATACATTCAAACGTCTACTCAAATTAATCTCACGTAATAAATTTAAAACCCGCTCTGAGCGGCTGAGAACTAAGAAAATTGTTTCACGGAATAACAGTGAGTGTGCAGACGAGCTGGCGATAATTAATCATAATGTAACATCTGAGATTGTAGAGCAGAAATATTAGGGAACTTTCAAGTTAAAGGAAAACATAAGACTCAAAGAAAGTTATATTTTATACGTTTTTTTGATTTGAACGTTTTTTTCTCATTACGATAAAGTACTGCATTTTGATTAATTTTATATTCCAAAAGCCCGTTCCTGCGACCTAAGTTGTTGACTCCCACGTCCCGATCTAGTGATCGCTTGGCTGCCAGCACAAAGATATGGTTTTTTACTACAGCTCGTGCAAGAATTAAGTGTATGCCGTATCGCCGGCTTTATCCATAATAATAATAAAAAAAAGGTATCGGTTGCTTCAAGTTAAAACCTCTGGCCCATGGATCCGCAGGTGGCGGGTTCGTATCCCGGCCGAGTTGCCCGCATTGGTCGAGGTGCCCGCATTTGGTCGAGGTGCCCGCATTTGGCCGAGGTGTCCGTAGTCAACTGGCGTATGTGCCTAAAAATGAATCTGATTTGTTGGATTGCGGATCTGATGCGGATGCGGAAGGGATCCGGATATCCCTGAGTCCGACTCTGGATTTTTGCCGAGCCTGCCGGTAAACGTGTGCGACTGCAGAGGCTAGAGTTCATAAATGAGGATACTTATAAGTGCATCGTCAAATGTTTTGTGAAAACAAATCAATCTAAGAAAAAATTTACATCTTTTCTGTTTTTTTACGTTAGGATTTGACATTAATGAAGGATTGCTTGAGAGCGTTCAATCTCGCGAAAAAGCTGTCAACAGGGAAAGTAAATATTGCAGGGGCGTCCATAATACCGGGAAAGTGTGTTCTTGTTTGGCAGGAAAAGAGCGGAAACCGTTCTTCGGTCAAATGAAACCCAAACACGTTCAAGCCACAAGAAAGGTGAAAACTCTTCGGCAAGTCGAACGTGACGTGTGTAAGCGTTTTCATTCTGAACAGTTGGTATGTTGCTGCTAAGTATGTGGTTCAGAGCACACAGTTGCGGAATCATGTTTACAAGCGAAACCGGTATGACATATTGCCATTAATGAATATTGTTATATTTTCACATGAGTGCACCCGCGTCTTACCACGTATATATGATTACGCTCCGGTGAATGGCGGCCTCTTTTTCCTGCTTTTCAGTACTTCACATAAATATAATGACACAGCGTAATCATATATGCTTTACCTTTACCTTAATTAATGTTTGCGATTAGAGAATACACGTCTGCTTAAATTAGTGTTTAAAAAAAATAAGATTAAATATTTCTTTTCGGTGCATATTCTGGCTAGAATATCGCAGTCTCCCAGGACCGCCTCAGAGCTTCGATAATCCGGCCAAAGACGCGGCGTGTATCCTGAAAGGATGATCGCTTCTTTATAAATAGAAAAAAAATCAGAATACCATCAAATATATTTCGCCATATGGTGACTCGAAGAGGTCTTTGTATGAAGGTAAGCAAACGTCTTATAAGGTACCAAGCAGACGATTAAAAAAAATGCATGCTTGACTTTATGATATAATGTTAATGCGACGATAGCTGGTTGGATGTGGTTCCAAATTTTGGGTATGCGATTCGGGTGCCAATACAAAGCCTTCGGATAGGGATCGTATGCGGATGATGAAACTGTTATTTGCAAAAGGCTCTAGGTTTAAGGTGTATGACTTTTCTGTAAGACCACAGTGCCGCGGGATAAAACATTCAATTCTGCAAATACATGTTTACAACAGGAAGAAACCCGCCACTCCACCATCATGCATTTAAAAACTCCACTTTTCCCCAAAGTAACTGGAAGATCAAATCACTGCAATACACGGAAAAACCTCGGTCAATGTCGAGGTTAACAAAAAAAAATTGCTTTGATTATTTTTATAAACCCAGGAGCACAGAATGTGTTGTGTGTATTAGGATTTGGTATGCTTGGTGGCGGGGAATTCTGGGTGCTTTCGGATGCGCAGCACACGCCACGCGCTGTTGTAATCTCCGGCGTCATCAGGCTGATCGAGACAAATTTAAACTTATTCGGGAGAATAGTGTGTCACGAGCATGTCTTAATAAAACAGATTTCCGTGAGTTCTGCTTCTTTGTGGGTTCGTGTAGGGCCTCGAAATCTTAATGCTCATGTTTTGTCAGAAGTCCCTTGTTGTAACCGATGTAATCGCAAGGGAAGGGGGTCTACTGCACCCTGTGCTCTATCAATTGATTTTAGTCTGAAGTTCGGACGTCATACGCCCACTGCGCTATCCCTTGATACGTTATGATTCACCCCGAGGGACGGTGAATATACGCAGGGAGCTACGTTTTGTCTGGAACCAGATGCGCGCACCGACTAACTATGCTGGACAAGGCATCAATCGCCACCAAAAGTCGCTTGCGGACTATACCACACTGCGGGCGAAATGAATTGAACGCACTCTAATAGGGTGAAGAGACGAAATTCCAGCGCTCATTTTATAGCTTTAATGTGTTGCATGTTCCAGCATAACCTCAAAAACACCATTCTTGCGTTGAAAGGCACAAGAAAACTAATTTTAAAGCTAAATAAACGATCTTTCAATGTGCACCTGGGGGATGCATGCGGAGCCTATTTGGGAGGTAATTTTGCAACGCTGGGGAAGTTGTTACGTGGTCATGTTGTAGCAAGTTCTATCGGAGCAGCGCCATTCTTTGAAATTTCAACATTTTCCTTCTTAGCTTTTCTCCTCAACTCACAAATCGCACATTGAACCAAACAATCTAAGAAGACGGAAAGGAAGGACTCGACTCTTTCTCGGACCCTCGTTTGTGCACCCGGATACTGCCATTCTCCCCCTTGAGGATTAGCCAGTCGCTCATAATTTGGACAAAAGTTGCTTTTCCCAGCCCGTTCACCCCTAAGTTGACAGTGCTGTGGAAGCTACGTGCTCCTTGGGACAGCCACACGCTCGTCACCCCACGGGTACTTCGAACGGCTCGGTTGTAACGCGTTGACCACCCGAACGCTGACAATGTCACCAACGGCAAAACTCATAACCACGCCAGCCTTGCTACGCCACGAACGCTGGAAATCTTTCCGTTTTCGTTTGCGTCGGATATCTCGTGACGCATCGCGCTCTAAGTTCGCTTCTCTTTGAGCGCTTGCTCGAGTGCACCGTTTGGAACGAAAAATCTAGACAGTCGTTCAAAATACAAAAGGGCGATTATCATTTACGGTTATTATCCGGCATGCTTAACTCATTTCCGAACGGAATTTGAATATTCCTATTTTCGTTTCCGTGCCCCATTTAACTGACCGCATAAATCGGTTTCTTAAGTTATCGCGTTGGGATTTACTACAGGGGTGCCTGAAGTTGGTAGTTCTTTCCCTAAAATTGTGGAAAGATCGGCTCACCGGAGTAAATGAATAAAAATCAAAAACTATATTTTCTCTTTACTTTGCATGTACACTAAAAGTGTCACGTGTTACCGTGGCGCTTGTTTGGGCCGAATGATGTGAAGAATAGGTAAGCAAATTCTTTTTTTTTCCATTTTACAAATGTTTCAGTCGTAGTAAACGCCAGAATGGCGTAAAACGATTTTATCATGATCTTAAGACAATTGTTTTCGATATATTTAAAAAAAAAAACAAGTTTTTTTTTTTTTGTTATTTGGCCCCCGGAGGTTTTATGTATTAATACTTTCAAGTAATAAATGCACCAGCTCCGAGCACCTCGTTAGTAACTAAGAGCGCGCTAAGTGAAGAAACCGATTTATGCGGTCAGTTCATAGTGCGTTCAATCCATTTCGCCCACGCTGTACTTATCACCCAATGCCCGACTGCAGTCTACAATTTGTTGGAGCCAATCAAGCAGTGCCAAAGGTTCATCGTCAGGACGTTCATCCTTCTCGTACGAAAGGTGTGAGAACGGTTAAAGTTCCTAGATATAAGGTTCCTACAAGTAGCGACATTCTTTGGAGCGCCGACTGCGTGACGGTGCAGATTTTAGAAAGCGATTACCGGCGTACAGCACAATACACCTCGTTTCAGCTTCGGTCCGAGCGCGGCCGATGTTATGAGCCGAAGGGCCCATCAAACAGAGAAAGATACACAATGTCATGGCGTGCTCCCTGCATTTGATAGGACCAGCCGGTATTCGCCGTCTCTCTGTGCGTGCTCCTCCGCCGGCTAGTCTTATTATGCGCTGAGAGCACGCAATGACGCTCCGATTTTTGCGGTGTTTGATTGGCCCTTCGCTGATAACATCGGCCGCGCTCGGACCGAAGCAGAAACGAAGTATGGTAAGCAGAAAGACGCATTTTGCTCCTATTTAATGTGCGACGTCATTCGTCTGGCTGCCGTTACTTCTAAAAAGAATCAAACACGGTACTTTACGAATAGTGGTTCAAATCGAATAGTGCTGCGTCATTGATAGCTTTCACAGTGGTAGGGAAACCCAAGACATACCTGTTCCCTTGTAGCGTCGATGCTGAGAATGACGCGGCGCTATTCTATTCGAACCACTGTTCGCACACCCTTACTTGGTACGTTTGCT